ATAATATATAGATGATAATACATATAAAGAATAATGAAATAAAAATAAAAATAAGAGAAAGAAATAAGCTAACAATACGATATATATATAAGGAGAAAAAGAATCAAAAAAACTTTAATCCATATCCATTTTCCAAGTTCATCTGTCAAAATAGCTTTCTGGCATCAATAGTGCATGCTGCGATTCATCTTGTAGTGTTGCAACTTAAGAATTGCCAGTATCAGATAATTTTGACAAGATACATCTACCTCTTTAAAATAATAGTTGTAATAATCCTCATCTTGGCTTGCAGGAAACTTGCTAATAGTTTCATTCAAGTTAATGAACTGACTTTCCCTTTGCAATAACCTTTCGATTACGGATTCAAGCTCTATAAGAGACGACGATCTACTAATATGATTTTTGATAATACCATTATAGGATTCAACATGTTACGTACTTTGTATTCCCGTGTTGAATGCACAGTGTGTAAAACAAAGAACCCAAGCCTCCCGACATAGATATAGATAACGTTGCAGGTAATTGGCGGCATCAGCATATTCAGTAATTAAAGTAACCCATCTTTCTTCAAATATTGACTCTACATAGCTATTTCGTGTATGACAAAATGTTGCAAAAAATTTTTTCCACTTTTCACTATGGTATTTTTCCATAAAATACTTCTCAAGATTCTTCTGAATATGGAATATACAAAAATGGTATTTTGTTGTTGACCAGAAACTGTTTACCGAGGCAATCATCACGAAATTGGTGTCAGTATAAAGAAGGTGTAGCATTAGTTCACCAGTTGTATTTAAAAGACTTTGGAACAACCAGGAAAAGCTATCTTTGATTTCATCTGATAAAACGGCAGTTGTTACAAAGTAAGAACGATTGTGATTGTCTACAATAATTACAACACATAGGATCATAGAATGACGGTTGGTTTTTGCAGTTGTGTCAAGAAGAACAATATCGTGAAAATACATCTATAATTGTTGTTGACTTGGGCGTATCCAGCAAAGCTATACAAGACAATTTTCTTGACCTTCAAACTGCATATCGATGTGAAAGGATGAATTTTCCTACTGTTATTTCATTAAATTTAGGTATATCGAACCAGCATCACTTTTACTTTAATTTTGTTAGCAGTGAATGGAATTAACCAAGTTATAAATGTCACAATCATAGATGTACTTTCCCAGATTTTTGTGTTGCAACACTTCAACAATTGTACCAGAGCGTACATCACATGTTACAAGTAATCTAACATCATCTTGCATTTCTGAAGTAAACTTTCGAAGACTAGACACAAGAGCAACAATGGTATTAACAAGTTTGTGATTATGCTAATTTTCAACTTTCATGATATAAACCAGATTGTCATTCTTCTGACAGTAGGCATTAATATGAAATTGGCAATTACCAATATTATGTTCTGCATTACAGCTCTCTTTTATATGCGCTTCCTTCCTTGGCACATATTTTAGACCTCTTGTACATGCGTAAATACGCCATTGGATTATGCTATCCTTTTTATCTTTTTCGCTATGAGTAATTGTAATGGCGAAGCCTTTCTCTAACCCATAGTTTTTAAGCCATCTTAATTTAAAAAAAAAAATTTAATTTTCTTTAAATAAAACAACATCTCTAGGACCTACATACTCATCAAGTTTTGTTCAATCGTTGAAAAACATCTCTGTTGTTACTGGATAAAGTGGTTCACCTTCATTAAGCTCGTTAAAAGAAATGTTTTCTGAATTTTCAGTTAAGTTAAGGTTATGGGTACTATTTTGGTCAAATGGCTCTATTTCACATATTTTCTCTAATGGCACTTGATCAGATGGCTCTATTTCGAGCACTTCATCTAGTGGTATCTCAGGAGAGACTTTATTATAAGAGAAGTTAGGAGGAAAAGTTGAAGGAGAAACGTGAGAAAAAAATGTTGCATTATACATGACTAAGTATGGCACGTATTATTTGTTATAGCGCAAATACATTTATTTCTTATTTTGATAATCATGTTTTCTTGTCAATTATAATATGAGATCATGTTTAAAGTTATATGATCACATGATATGGTGTACGACACCACTGGTGTGATTTAAAGTTTTCAATTAAATTTATCTTTTTTTAAATAATTTTTTTGATAAAATCAATTTTCTCCTTAAAAATTTTTTCAGAATTATAAAGGCATGTATTCAAATTTTATATTTTTTTATATGAAGATGTTATACCACCTAGGTTGGTTACTAGTTTCTGAGATAAAAGACAAGACTAATTTCACTTTGTTATTTTTATTATTTTTATTGAATTTAACTGAAGTAGATTGAATGATAACATAAACCAAAGTATTACAGTAAAAGATTCTTTTTTCATAAACTTCGATAATAACATTGTATTGTAAAATATTAATTTTATTTATTTTTATTATATTATTATTTAATGTATTTATTATTTATTTGTAATTTATATTAATTGAAGATCATATAACAGATGGCTCACCAGGTTGATTACCAGGTGAATCACCTAGGTAAATTACCTGTTGCACGTAACAGGTGGATCACCAGGTTG